AATCCCCTACACTTACGACACACTTTACTCTACATGACACCTATTATACTTTAGCGAATTAAGTGTTCCAGCTTGAAAGGTACAATCGTTTGAACATTTTACAAAAAGACGAAGAAAAAATCTTCGAACGAATGGAGCGACTCGCCCGGTGCAATACCACGACCACACAGAAGACAAGCGTGAAGTGGGAGCAATTCCGCGTACAGTCTGATGAGTGTGGTGCCGGAGGCCCAACTTTAGTCCCTTTTCCTTCCCACCCTTTTTCTTATACGAACAGGACGGCAAGGGAATGTGGAATTGACGGTGCAGGAGACGCATAGGAAGGGGAAATATGCTTTTTGTGTGCGTCTCCTCCTCCGTCGATCAAGGGTAGGAAACGCATCAGCTATTGCGAATGTCTATGGGCAGCGGTCGCTTTGCCGCCTTATGATATAAAAAAATTCTGCGAGTGTACCTTAACTGGTGGTTTCCTAGTGAGGTGCGCGACGAGGAAGTTCATGGCGATGTCCTCGCAGTTCATGTAGTGGTCGACGTGGTGGCGCACGGCGGCGGGCAGCGCGCGCCAGTACGCCCACAGGAAGTAGCGGTGCACGAACGCCGCGCCCGTCAGCACCATGCTCAGCTCGCAGCTGCCCACACGTATCACAATCATACCTCATTTTACCAATATGAATAAATGCGAAACTTTAGATGGATGAACGGATGTTTTTTAGAGTTTGTAACCTAAACAGCTGAAAGAATCTCGATGAAATTTGGCTTTGATGTAGAATATAGTCTGGAAGAACCCATAAGCTACATACTTTTGTTTATTTTTTAATTCCACGCAGACAGAGTCGCGGACGAAAACTAGTATGTTATATTTTAATCCCGGAAAATACGATGTATTAATACCGTTTTTTCAAGTTTACTTAATTATTCTTCAAAGGGCGAATGTCTTATTGAAGTTTGGCACAGATATGACACAAAGTCTGAAATAACAATGTGAAACGGTGCATGCCCTAATACATCAGATTTCCGAAACATACATAGGTTGTTTTCCATATTTCGTGTCTATTTTATATTACTCCGCGGACGAAGTCGCGGGCTAAAGCTAATAATTCATAAAAACAACCGTCGCACTACAAAAATATTTTCATATAAAAATTTAACTCTGTTCTAATTAATTTATATAAGACAAAATTTACCTGTAGTTCGAATTGTAAAGGAATCCATTATTAAAATTGAGATCCCACGCGTGATATCGGCCCGGAAACCCGACGATACGGTCGCGATGTTCACGCCAAACTCTGTGGGAAACCTCTCAGTTAG